CGTGTCGCTATGCGGATTCGTCATTAAACGGTGCGCTCGTTATGCGAGGCACCACTGTATTCCCACTTTTGCGCCTTTAAAGAAACATTTCTATTTTTGCCTTGGAAGGCTCACTTTTCTTGATGGCATTTTAAATTCTAAGAAAACTGGGGAATGTGTTGAACACGGAAGCGTGGACACAGCTTGCACTGAGGAAATCTGGACATCTGTCATGCCCTTACACTAAATACTTACGCCAAGGGCTTTTCCCGGGTGCTCTCTCCCATCTGTGTTGTGGGTCAGTAACTAAAGCAGAGTGAACTCACTCAACAAGAGCACTCTACCTGCATAAGAGTAATCTTTTCAGGGAGGCTTTCCTGATAGTTGCTCTCACATTGGCCGGTCTCCAGACAAATCCTTCTGTTTTCAGAGAAGGTTTCAATCTTCTATACATGGCCTTTCACAAACACGAGCTTAAGCCGTAAAGCTTTTATGCCAAGAAGGTATTTAATTGGTCCAGCAATTGCAAAATATACAAATTTTCAAAAGGCAGACCTGTTTTATAAGCTGGCACTGCGTCATCTCAGGCAACCCGGAAAAAAAAAACCCAAAACATGTACTGTATATACAGAATGAACATCACACAAGTCAAGGGGGAAAATGCACTCTTTTCTTAGCTCCGCCAAGAGAGGTTACCTACGTGTAACCATGGTTCTTCTGGCGGTCCTCTGCGAAACGCCCGAGAGGTCCCGTGCAGGCGGAAGGCCCACCCAATCGGGTGCATTCAGAGGCCGCAAAGAAGAACAAATGTTAAATAAATAAATAGCCTTTTGCTATTAAAAAACTGATAAAAATACAAATTCAAGTATCAAAGGAAAAACACAATCAAAAAATGAGTCATTGGTGTGGATTTACATTACCTTTCCTTGCTCAACTGGTGTGTCCCCAACACTAGCTAAGCTCTACTTTCGTTGGCAAGTCCGTAGAATCAAAATCTCACCCACCGCAATCCGACATGTCCCCCCGTTACACTCAGATGGCCTGAAGCAAGCATTAATTTGTCTCCCAGGATTTTACTTCTTCGAAACCAGGGAACCTTGTTATGGCTTCCCCCCTCGATGCCAGTTCTCATCTCCTTCCTACCCATGAGCTATGAAACCAAGCAAAGAACAGCTTGCCTGGAAATTTTTTATCACAGAGCAAAATCCGTGGTTGTATTTGCCTCTGGCTGGTTTATCTAGCTCTGGCAGGAGAGGAGTACACATCTCAAAACCACTTTTTTATGTACAAGATAAAGTACCTTCCTTCTAAAAAAAGAAATAAATAAGGGGATGAGGGTGCAGAAGCCTGGCAGGTGATCAGCTGAGAGAGAAAAATTACTCACTGCACACAAACACACATTCTGAAAACACACTCAAAAAGAAAGGAAAAAATGCTTTTAAAAATGCAATTAGAAAACAGAGAGGTCCTTCTGCCTGTACACAAGTATACATATATAAATTCCCTCCTGTGGCCCGTCCCTGGTAAAAAACAGTCAGCAGCCAACAGCAGCTCAATTGGGCGCTCTGTTGATAATATTCTTATTAACAAAACATAATAAAACACTAGACACGGGCACAAGGCTTAGGCTCAAAGCACTTCTGTCTGCCTCACCAAAGCTGACCTTGTCGGCTTCTCTTAACAAAGAAAGTAGGAACATTCCTACCGTCTTATTTTATTCGATTCAAGAAGGCCCCCCCTACAGACCCCTACTTGTAAAAAAAACATTTAGGGGCAGATGGGAAGAGAAAGGAGCCTGTTTTCCGCCATTAGAAATCCACTCACAAATTTATTTGCTAATGGGACTGTGCAGTAAAGGCCCTCCACATCTAAGCAGTTTTCTTTTTCATTCTCCTCCAAATCAAGAGGTCCTCATGCTATGTGCCCGGTCCTCCCCATCTGGGTTCTCCATAATTTTAGGAAAACCCTGGTAAGCAGAAGCGGTCAAAAGAATTTTAAACAGAAGCCTTGGTCAACAAAACAGACAGACATACTTAGGCCACTAGTGAAGGAACACCCACTTGGCCACACAAACACACAATTAAAAATAAAATAAAAGTAGAAAACAAACAAAAAAAAGACCTAGCTGAGGAAACAGCCAAGGGGGTTTTTCCTAGTGAGCTATAAAAGCATAAACCTCAGCTCATCCCTAATACTTATTTCAATGGATTATTCAATCACACCTTTTTTTCAAATCACCCCTTCTCTCGCTATTGTTTTTACCGCACATGAAACTGGTTCCATGTCCCACCGGAGTGCAAGGAAAAAAAATCTGTCTGGGGAATTAACTTGCCAAGGAGCAATCGGTGTCTCTCCCCGCGTGGCTCCTGGATGCATCGTCTCCTGGGCTGTCGTTCAAACGCCCGCCCCCCCATCGGAAGAGTGATATTCCACCTAACCCACCTCTCAGCAGCCACCTGCTTACCTTTTAGCAAGCAGCATCTAAAACAGATGTTGGGGATTTCTCAAAACCATGCAAAGACCGCTGTGCATCTCCCCTCCCTGTGCATTTTTTCCATAAAGTTCGTAAAGATATATTTGACAAGGATTTGTTTGGCGGTTAACCATCCTCATCTCGAAGAACAGATTTTACTGTCCCCTCTCCCCTGCAACCTTGGGCTTGTGACTGACATCCATTGATTTCCGGTGGCGGTGAAGGAGATATGCACATTTACCCAACAGTGAACATGCATGTGAGTGTCTCAAAGAGAACTTTCATGCCCCCCACTTTCTAGCTATCCCCTCCTCTCCAGAAGCATGCACACATCAACACACCAACTATGTACACATGCTGAGAGTAGCACAGAGTCTCTGTTTTCTCTGCAAGGCAATTGTGTCGTGTTAGAAATGATAATAATAATAATAATAGTAAGAAAAGAAACAGACTTAGTACATAGTGTGCAAACAAATGCTTAGGCCCTGCTATGGTCTACAAAGTTTATGGCATAGGAGAGATGAAAAACAGCTCAAAGATTAGTGTAATCCACAATGTCCAGTACAAGGAGATGTTCCCGTTTTCCTTCTCCCTCTCTTGGGATTCCGTCGGCTGCTCCAGGAAAAAAAAAGTAACGCTCCCCAAGGGGTCCAAGCAGGCAGATTGATCAGCGATGGAGATCATCAACGAGGGTTGGCCTCCAATCGGATGGCGATGTTGGGCCAGACGTAAGCTTCGGAGGTGGGCGATGCAATGGAGCTGGGCTTCTGTGGGCAGGTTTTTCAAGCATCGCCCCTGAAGATACTCAATGCTGGTTGTGGGAGTTTTTCATGTTCTGCAAGGCCAAGAGAGAAAAAGACGAAACCGTTGAGCCAGGAGGGTTCAAACTTGATGGGAAAGTATTTTTAAGAAGTTCGACAGCAAGAGAAAAGCAAGACATTCTCCCCCCCCAGCTGCATGCAAATGGCAAAACCAACCACAGCCACAGCAAAAAAAACAGATGACAACAACAAAAATAAACCATGGAGATCATTGTAGAAATGTTATCACCATAGGGGGAAAAATGACCTCACAAATGAAACAGCCACATCCCAGGGGTATGGCCTCTTCCATCATGAAACCAGAGGTGGGTCAGCTTACTTTGACTCCCAGAATCTCTCAGCCAGCAGGGCCATCGGCTGTGCTGGTGGATGGACAATTCTGAGAGGTGTACTCTAAAATAGGGTTTCCCGACTGTAGGCAACCTGGATGGTTCTTGGACTGCAACTCCCAGAAGCCTTCATCACCAGCTGTGCTGGACGGGGAACACCTGGTTGCCCCTCGGTTGGGAACCACTGCTCTAAAACAAGGAACAGTCCTCCGCTCTGATCAGGACTTCCTCTTCTCCAATTTGTTTATTCCATTTATAGCCCACATTTCCCTAATAAATGTAAGACAATGTACATGGCTCCATTCCCTCCCCTTTTTTATTTCCACAACAACCAAGTGCTTGGATAAGCAAAGCTTACCCAACACGTTTCATGGCCCAATGAATCCTAGTCTGATAAGCAGCAGTATAGTCTTTGAATACTTGGTGTAAAGGTTGTGTTTTTGAGAGTTTGGTTTTATTTTAGAACTTGTCTTCATTTGAGCACAAACTGTAGGGAGGGAGGTGATGAAGGAGAGGAGTTGCCATCTCCTGGCATATGGTGCAAAAATAAAAATGGAACTGGAAGCAGCCCCCAAACATTTCCGTAAAAGTTGTAGTGCTTTTTTTTAAAAAAAAAATACTGTAAGGCGCCTTGGATCCATCAGGTGGAAGGTGGCGTAGGTGTATTTTAAATAAAAGAGGATGGGATACTTCACTTAAACCTGATCTATACATGAAAGGGAAGGAGGTGGAGGGATAATGGAATTGGCTGGAGCAGCCGACCCTACAAGGGCGGGATAACATTTCTGAATGCTCTTTTATGGGTTTCCCCTTTCAGTTCCTTAGAAGAAGAAGAAAAAAGCAAAATACACACAGTTCCCTGCCACAGCCTAGAGTTGAGCTGCAATAGACTCTACTTCTGAGGACAGTTTTCCCACAACGTGAGGCACACAAAAGAATGGAAGTCTCTGTGAAGATTCTCAGTCATCCAGGTGAGGTTATCTGGAAGTTGAGTCCTGGCAACCGGGCTCCTTTCTCGTTTCGTGCCTCATCCAAGGAGCTTCTTCCGTCTGAGGAGAGTTGAGAGGAGATCCCTGATATATCCTCCATGTTGGTTTCACTTTTCCCCTGGTCTGAATAGGCTTGTTAGAAGGACAAAGGTCTGGGGGTGAGGGAGAATCTCACTTCTGAAGTTCTGAACTTTCTGGGGTTGTTAACAGTGAAACCAACATGGAGGATATATCAGGGATTTCCTACAACCCTCCTCAGACTGTAGAAGCCCCTTGGATGAGTAGCAAACCATTTATACCTAATAAGAAATAACTCCGGTTGCTATCACTCAACTTTCAGAAAAGAATGGAACCTGCCACTTATAGCCTGAAAAGATCCAATCTACCCTACCCCCTCATTCCACTAGATTCACAGTTTAGGAAGAAGAACTAGCTTTCCTTTTGCAAGTGAGGAAGAAATCTGGGTCACTTTTAAAACTACACACATTACATAAGAGAAATGCCAAGGGCTACCATCATTACCTAATTTTGCATTACTAAATCACACTGGACAATACACATGGCATGGTGAAAGGGGTGAAAGACAAAGCACTATTTTCCTCACCTCCATATGTTGCACTTAGCGTGCTTTGTTTTATGACCAGTCATGAAAGATACAAGTGCCTGATTTGCAAGACTCACAGTGAAGCACGGATGCCTCAGTAAATCCCCTTCCGGAAGAGGAAAACAGGGTGATCAAGAAGGTAGCATTTCCTTTACTATCTAATGTCATGGCTAGATCCTTACATGCCAGTTACAGAGGCAGGCTTTGGGGTGGGAAAAAAACTGAAAAATACAGTGGTCACCAGAAAAAGCAAATGCCACAGTAGGATCTCGGGATACAAAGCAACACGGGGTCACAGTTAGCATTTTCTCCGAATGACAGCAGTCTAGAGCAGTCATCTGACTCTTGTGTCATCAAGAGTCACAAATGTGTTATTCCCCCAAGGAAATTCCAGTTTTCACAAAGCTATGCAAGCACAAGGTGACAATACACCTCTCTGCCAACCCATGCAGGGAGGGAGGGAGGACAAATAGATTGAACAGCTCTTACTCCAGGGAGTCAAGGTTAGGGGGTCAGTACCACACGCAGAGCAGCAAGCCATTTACCTTGGAAATATTAGTAAAGCAAAAAGTTTGAAAATGTGGCAAAGAGGCCGTCTTTCAGCATGAAAAGGAAAAAAAAAGAAAGAGGTGGTGAAGGAGGATGGTTTTGTGCGAGGTAGATCTAACAGAAATGGATTAAAGTGGAGGAGGGGGAAAGACTTCCGGTGACCGATAAGGTAGCAAGGTTTGTCAATAATAACACTAGACACCAAGCCAATAGAAGCTCCTTGGTCTCTTTCATACACACTGTCTGTCCTAAAGTGCTCCTCCACACACTTCTGGTTTATTATTATTTTTCTAAATAGCAATCTCTGACCATTTCCAGGACTGGGAGAAAGAACATGACCCAAAATCCCCATGGAGAGTGTTCACCTTGTCCTAAATCAAACTAAGTGATCAAACTAGCTTTTAAATATTTTCTTCTTTTTTAAAAAAAAGTAAGTCATCTTTGGGTCCTTTTTAAGGAGAAAGGCGGAGTAAAAGGATTTTAAATAAATAATTGCAACAGAACCAAAGAGAAGGCATGGCATTTGGCCTCTGGTGGCCATAAACACCATGTGCAACAGAAAAGTGACAAAACCACATTTATCCTGTTTCGGATTCTTATAAATGGCTCTGAAAGGGGAGTATTAAGTCTTGGTTCTGAACCTCCCAAGGCAGGAATGTTCTGTGCTGATCAATAGCTCTCCCTTTTGACTTTTTGGATGATAAATGCTCAATGTCATCAAATACACAGATTACTGATAAGGCTAAGAAAGAAAGATGTACAGGTCTCCATAATCCAGATGACAGAGCCTTATGGCCTTCCAGATGCTGACTGGACTAGTCTCTTATCACCGGCCAGACTGGCCGTGGCAGATGGGCATCGGAGTGCAACCTCCTGAAAGCCACAGCTTCCCAGGACTATTATACTCCTTTATTCTCTGTTCTAACCTCAGATGTATGCCTTGGAGGCTATCTGCAGAAAAGAATCAAGTCATCTCAAACCTGGTGTCTTCCAGAGATGTCAGACTGACATTGTCATTATTCTGAGCCCCTATGATTGGATGGGGACCCATAGGGCAACCTCTGGGATCAAGAAGTAAATATCTACCCAAATCAGAACATTTGTCATCCAGCTTGCCATCGCATGCCTTGACTCTGTGCCTTTTTTGCCCTTTCCCTGATTTGGTCTTTTTTTTCCCCTTCCTAAACCTATTTGAAAATATCTGGGAATAGAACCTGGGACTTTCTACCACTAAATCATGCACGCTCGCACTGAGCTGCTATCTTCCTGCTAAAAAACAAAACAGCAGTTAAGGGGGTGGGGGGGGGGGAAGGAAACCAATGAGTGAGGTTTTCCCAGTTTAATGTATTCGCGAAGGCCAGGATCTGATGGTTGTTATGGGTGTTTCGGCCTCTTTGGCCGTGTTCTGAAGATTGTTCTTCCTAACATTTCACCAGTCTCTGTGGCCGACATCTTCAGAGGACAGCACTCTGTGCTCTGGTGTAGTTTGGTTGGGAGTGGAGCATTTATGGCTGTGAGATAGGCTTTTGTCCTTTTCAGGAGATGGGTGATTAGTGTGTCTTGTTGTGGGTGTATTGTTGTGATAAGGAGAGATTATCTGTCATTGTGATTGATGGGTGTCATTATCTGGTCTTTTGTGTGTAGTCCTCTGAAGATGCTGGCCACAGAGACTGGCAAAACGTTAGGAAGAACAACCTTCAGAACACGGCCAAAGAGCCCGAAAAACCCACAGCAACCTTTTCCCCAGTTATTGAACAACTACTTGGCAGGCCCATCCTATCCAGAAATAGCACATGATAAAAGCTTGGTGTTGAATGTCGTTTCACAGCAGCAAAAGGAAAACCAAGACAGCCACAGGTGATAAAGAGGGTCAACCCGCAAGAAGATACTTACAGGCAGGCCTTCCCCAGTAAAGGCTGTAGAGAGACAAAAGAGGGGGGGAAAGAGGGAAAAATGGAAGAGAAATCAGTCATGATAGCAAAGCTAACTCATCACAGGCAATAGAAAGTCTCAAGAGAAGAGAGAGAGAAAGGGTTAAATAAGATCTTATTGAAATAAGAGATTTCAGTAAATATGACGAAGACAAACTATGGGACATAAAGGCATACACTCCAGCGCCTACCTACTGAAAGATCACAAAGATGTCAGCCAATGGCCCTCCCAGTCTCTCTAATTCCAACCAAGGAGGTGACCCAACAAGGGAGTAACCAGGCTGGACATTCGAGTTCACGGCTCTCAGAAGTCTTCAAAGGGTCTTACTTTCCCTCTCGCTAGAGTCCAGTGACCCTGTTTGGCTTCCAAAATCAGCACAACCTCACACACAAACTGCTGCAATACGAAGCGCCTTTAGGAGAGAAGCCCTCCATTGGCCCGTCTGACGACTTATTTGTTACTGGAAGAGGAATTAATTAGGTGAGATTCCTCAGACGCTGTACGCCTTGGGCTCCCAGCAGCTGCAGAACTTGGACATTGAAGTGGGAGGTACCACGTCAGCCAATATACGAAAGCTCTCAGTCAGGGATCTCCCCTGCCCCATCAACAGGGGGGTGGGTGGCTGAATGCACCCATGTTCTTTTCCCAGAAAGCTCTTCTAATTCATCACAGGGGTGCTGCCCAAACAGGGCAGAGTTACACTGTGGAATTTACTACCTCAGGATCTCAAAACTGGATGGCTTTTAAAAAGGACTGGGGAAATTGACAGAGGCGAGGATAGCCATATATAGTCTCAGAGGCTGTACATCTTTGCTATCAGTGGCTGGTGGATGCGTCCATGGACGACCAATCAACCTGAGCCTAGCATGAGAAGTAAATCGTCTACTCAGCTCCTGGTCTGCCAAGGTCAAAACACACCAGAGGCAACACACCGGATGTAGAAATTAAATTTCTTTCATAAAGGATCTAATCCGTTTTGGAAACCGTAGGAGACTGAAAACATGATGCTATGGTGCTGATCGTTTTGTCACCAGAACCGACTTAACAATGTGGATCAAAAGGCTCAAAGCAGAACCGCCACCCGACACATTGCTTTACTGCTCTTCTCAACGGTTCGGAGGCAAGTATGAACCTAATCAAGTGGGACCATATAAACGTGCCTATTCAAGGCACCTGATTCCACACTATTTTATGCTCAAAACAGACATGGAGGCATCCTCAAACCTTGCTAGGCCGTGAAGGTGATAGAAATACTCTCTTCCTCTCAAAAAGAAACATAGAATCATCGTAGGGGTGGAAGGGACCTCGGAGGTCTTCTAGACCAACCCCCTGCGCCCAAGGTAGGAGACCCCGTACCATCCCAGGCAGATGGCGGTCCAACATACCATCCCGGACCTCATACCATCCCAGGCAGATGGCGGTTTCATTTCTTGAAAACCTCCAGCCATGGGGCACCCACCACATCAGGTGGCAAGTTGTTCCACTGCTTTAATGATTCTCACCCTCAGGAAATTCCTCCCCATTTCCAGGTTGGATCTCCCCTCTGACGAGTTCCCACCCTTGGGTCCTTGTCCTACCCCCTCAGGCACAACAGAGAATCAATCGATGCCCTCTTCCCTGGGGCAACCCCTTCAGATCTTGGAAGACTGCCCTCATGTCTCATGTCTCGGAAAAAAAAAAGACCTAGCCTTAAAATATCACACACAGAATCTATAGATGTTTTGTGGGAGGAGATGAGCGCCAAAAAGAAAGTGGGGGGGATTTCAGAAGGATGTTAAGGAGGATCTCTAAGAGTATCACCCCTTTTTTTAAAAAGGGTTTAAAGCAATGCAAATCAAAAACCTATTGAGATTTAAAGCAAGGAAAGGGAGATACATGCAACGGACACAAGGCACAAGGCACAGCCGTTCACAACCACCACCACGACACACACACACACACAAAAGAAAAACACCAACAAAAGAATGTAACCAACTTGTCCGGGCATCTGGGTGGGCACCTCCTGGGGCTTACAGGTGGGCAGGGCAGCAGAAGCGGCGGCAGCAGCAGCCACATGCTCCTCAAAGCTGTTGATGCGAGGCTTTTTGGTGGGCTCTGGGCTCGCTAGAGGGGTAACGCTATTGCGCCTCATGAGGGTGTTAGGTCCCTTCTTTGCATCCTAAATTAGAGCAAGACAAAGATAAAAAAAATAATAAGGAAGAAGGCGAAAAGTTATGGGGGGAAAAAGCAGTTAAAATATACATGATGGGTTAATCGATCTGACGGACATACAAAAGGAAAAGGGAGGAAAAAAAGAGGCGAGGTCAGGAAACTCTGGGGGGGAGGGAATCTCTTGAAAGGCTTCGGAAGAGTTTCTAAAGCATTCCCCTCACAGGCATGTAAATGAAGAGACTCAACATGCTTAGTCAAGCAGGAAGGAAGGAAGGCTCCTTCGACTGGACCCCTTTCTTGGGTGGGACCTCTCAAGGAACCCCATACACACAGGCTGCTGCCCTCGAAGAAACAACTTCTCCCTCAAGAATAACAAACCTTCGTCACAAGCCCACCATGCTGCCGAAACGCGAGTGAGAAGCCCTCGCCAAAGGATTCCCAGAAAGAAAACGTCATCCGCTTTTTGCAATCCTAGCGCCCCTTCAAAACCAACTTGGGGGTTATCTACGGACAGCCCCTCTTTCAGCTCACCAGCCCTCTTCGAGTTGGCAAGGAAGCGAGTAACATTAATCGTTTTAAAAGGAACATTAAAAATGGTAAAACCCTTTATGCGTACTCGCTCATTCACGCCCCTCCCCTTACCTAGCATGATCTCATTTTCCTCAGCGGGCAACACCTCACTGGAGAACAGGGAGCCCTATGGTCAAGTTTCTAAAGCTTAACCAGAAATGGAATTGAGTAAGACCACAAGAGAGGGAAGTCTACAGTCCAACAGGACTTTGGGTGTGTGTGTGTGTAATCTTGCTTCTGTCGGGCTCCCACCGTTGACACGATTCAGCAGAACGTTAGGTTTTTTGAAGGCTGAACTCTTACAACCAACCGCCATCCCTATTTCCTTGATGTTACTTCTCACAGTGGTGCCCCGATGTGAGGAGAAGGGATGAGTGGAAAGGCTGCAGGGAGGTGTGCCAAAAAACCATTCAACACCCTTTCTGATGCCCGTCGTAGGGCCCCAAAAAGGACCTCCACCATTCCTTTCTACAGCAGAACTGTATTCAGAGAATTGGCCCTATTCATTAATATTAACAATCATAGAACTGCAGAGAAGGAAGGGATCCTATGGATCTCTGAGTCCGGCTCCTGTCAAGGAGGCACAAGTGGGGAATCGAACTCCCAACCTTTGGCAAGAGACCCTTAAACCACCGAGCTATCTAGCAGTTTATCTCTTGCACAATATTGACACAGCACTATCCCCAGGCAGTTCATCCGTTTCTCCTTCTTTTATCAGTTTTGAACTTGAGGTCTGCAGGGATTAAAGCAGAATAACAGCACACGGAGCCCTGGACTTCAATCCTTTTCCATTCTTACTTCATAAGCAAGAGAGAGTCGGCACCTAGTGCCTCCCGGAAGGATCCATTGTTTAAGCAGGGAGATCCCTCTCACGGGGTTTGGACCGCTGTACAGTGGTGCCTCGCAAGACGATTTTAATTCGTTCCGCGAAAATCATTGTCTTGTGAAAAAAAATCATCTTGCGAGGTTCTCTATGCATTGGTCTAAAAAAAAAGTCATGCGAAGCATCGGTCTCAAAAAAAGTCTTGTGAAGCACGGTCATAGAAAAAAAGTCTTGGGAGGCACCATAGTGATCACAAAAACCAATCCTCTTGCAGGTTTTTGGTCTCGTGAGGCAATTGTCTAGCGAGGCACCACTGTATCTAAATAAGCCACAAGAACCATCTCCACTTCTCCTCCTAAGTCATCTGACAGGCAGACAGATTTTTAATTACAGTGAATTTCAGTGAAAGTGTAAAATTGGCAGGACTTGCCATTTGTATTACATAATCAAAATTCAAAGCAAAATCAAGAAAGCAAAAAGGTCTTGGCAAAAACCTTCTCATAATCACAGTGGCCTCACTCTCAAAGATGGAGAGAGCCGAAGTCTGGGCTTTACCCTTAAAATTAGGGAGTGAGAGGCTTTCTCTGACTAAATGCTTCTGCATACAAACAAGAATATTTCCTATACATAGAAAGCTCGCAAGTTAGGAAGAATAAGCAAGGATGGCTCTTTCTAACATGTCCAGTTTTCTCTGACTTCCAACAGTCTTTCTTTCTCTCTCTTTTTTTTAATATGGCCACCTCCATGAGCGCTCGGCTTCTTGAATATGTGGAACACTTTGGCCTCTGAGAAAAAAAGCTAGGGCAACTTTATTTCTTTAGTTATTTCCTGCAGCACAACTGCCAGCAGCAGCCCAACAAATTACCATATTTTTCCGTGTATAAGACGCCCCAATGTATAAGATTCCCCCTCCCCCCACTTTTCTAACCCAAAATTAAGAAATCTAAGTGGGGCTTAGCAAGTGGAGGGGAAAGCAGGGATCAAAGCCCTGCAGGATCACTTTGATCCCTGCTTTCCCCTCCACTTGTTTTTGTTCTCTCCCCAGCTTACTTCCGTGTATAAGACGACCCTCAATTTTTAGTCTAAAGATTTCAGACAAAAGTATGGTCTTATACGAGGAAAAATACGGTATCTTCTTTCCAATACAAACGGATGATCAGGAAGAAAACACTGCTTACAACAAGAGAGAATTGGTCTGTGAATGTTTTCCTAAAACAGACAGGCTTCCCCACGTTCTTCCAATCTAGACACGACAGGCAGGGCCTCCTCACCTCTGGTCTGTCCCGGTGGGTGTTCACAGCTTCGACATTCAAAGAGATCGATTCAAATCTACAACCTTGCGGAAGGCCGAAGGGGGGGGGGAAGAGAAATAAAAAGAAACAGAACACTGTCAAAGAATTGATCCATCACATTTCTTCAATCCTTTAAATCAACACCGACAAAAACTTTTTGATACATTCTCTAGATTTTTTTAAATATCAATTTGATTCATTTTTGGAAGCGATGCACTCGGATCTAGAGAGGAAAACCGACATACAAAAAAAAATGGTATCCCCTGTTCTTACATAAAGAGGTCTATTCAAGGACGGTGGTGCCCATGGCAACAGCTGCAACATGCAGCACTTAACAAACAATGCTTTTCCGTCCATATGCAAAATCCACGGGGATTTCAAATCAACCAATCATTTGAGCGAAACGTGAACAATTTAAACCCCTAGAGTTGTCTTTAATCAGGTTAAGAATCTCCCAAAGGACAAGACAGATGAGTGCTATCTGACCCAACCCCTTTTTATTGCCTTCCAGAGAAGGTACACTCTGTCTGGCTTTAGCAGGTGCAAAAGAGGTACAAACCCATCGGAGTGAGACCCTGGCCAAAGGGCACTGGGCCAAGCCCTCCTTGGGTCCTTACTGAAAATGAAATGACATGCAGTGCAAAAATAACCAGGGTACCGTCCTCGGTGCTGAATATCTACCGTAGCAAAAAAAGCGGAATGACTGATTTAAATTGAGCAAAAAGGAAAAATGAATGTACATGCAGGTGCATGCCGTCATTTGGCTAGATGCAGGTGTATAGGTAAAGGTAAAGGTTCCCCTTGACATTTAATCCAATCGTGTCTGACTTGAGGGCGCGGTACTCATCCCCATTTCCAAGCCACAGAGCCAGCGTTTGTCCGAAGACCGTTTCCGTGGTCACGTGGCTAGCGTGACTAGACATGGAATGCCATTACCTTCCCACCCAGGTGGTCCTTATTTATCTCCTCGTATTTGTACATGCTTTCAAACGGCTAGGTTGGCAGGAGCTGGGATGAGTGACGGGAGCTCCCTCTGTTGCGTGGATTCGATCTTACGATGGCTGGTCTTTCAACCTTGCAGCCCAGAGGGTTCTGCGGTTTAACCCGCAGCGCCACCACGTCCCTTGATGCAGGTGTATGCATCTATACAAATTAACATATTCTCTTGTTTCTGCCCAGTTTTACTC